AAATGCATGACCTTGCACTTTGCACTATTAAATTTTAATCCCATTTCTATTACTGCAGTTTACAAGGTCATCCAGATCTTCTTGTAAGATATTCCAGTCCTCCTCCATATTGAAAGTACCTCCCAACTTTGTGTCATCTGCAAATTTTATTAGCACACTCCCACTTTTTGTGCCAGGAGCAGTGATAAAAATGTTAAATAAGAATGGTCCTAAACCTGATCTCTGAGGAACTCCACTAGTAACCTCCCTCTAGCCTGACAGTTCACTTTTCAGTGTGACCCGTTGTAGTTGCCCCTTTAACCAGTTTCTTGTCCACCTTTTAGTTCTCATATTAATCCCTATCTTCTCAAATTTAATTAATAATTTTCCAAGTGGAACTGTATCAAATGCCTTCCTGAAATCCAGGAAGATTAGATCTACTGCATTCCTTTGTCTAAAAAATCAGTTATCTTCTCAAAGAAGGAGATCAGGTTGGTCTGGAACAATATACTTTTTGTAAAACCATCTTGTATTTTATCCCAATTACCATTCACTTTTATGTCCTTAACTAGTTTCTCTTTCAAAATTTGTTCCAAGAACTTGCACACAATTGAGGTCAAACTAACAGGCCTGTAGTTTCCTGGATCACTTTTTTCCCCTTTTTTAAAAATAGGAACTATATTAGCAATTCTCCATTCATAGCGTATGACCCCTGAGTTTACAGATGCATTAAAAATCCTTGCTATTGGGCTTGCACTTTCATGTGCTAGTTCCTTTAATATTCTTGGATGGAGCTTACCTGGGGCCCCCGATTTAGTACCGCTAAACTGTTTGAGTTTGACTTTCACCTCTGATGTGGTAATTTCTACCTCCATATCCTCATTCCCATTAGCCACCCTGCCATTGCCCCTAAGCTCTTCATTAGCCTCATTAAAAACTGAGGCAAAGCATTTGTTTAGGTGTTGGGCCGTGCCTAGTTAATCTTTAATCTCCACCCCATCATCAGTGCTTAGCGGTCCCACTTCTTCTTTCCTAGTTTTCTTCTTATTTGTATGGCTTAGAACGTTTTACTATTGGTTTTAATTCCCTTTGCAAGGTCCCACTCTGCTTGGCTTTTGGCAGTTTCCACTTTATCCCAGCACTTTCTGGCAAGAGGTTGCTTTCCTTGCTGATCCCTCCCATCTTCCATTCCTTATAGGCTTGCTGCTTTCTCTTAATCATCTGTTTGAGATGTTTGCTCATCCAGCTTGGTCTGTGGCTCTTCCCTATGAATTTTTTCTCCTTGCTTGGGATGCAGGCTTCAGATAGTTTCTGCAACTTTGATGTAAAGTAATTCCAAGCCTCCTCCACATTCAGATCCTTGAGTTCTTTGATCCAGTCCACTCCCCTCACTAATTTCCTTAATTTATTAAAGCTAGCTCTTTTGAAATCAAGGACTCTAGTTGCAGATCGATTTTTGTTTATCCTTCCATTTAGTTTAAATTGAATGAGTTCCTGATTACTTGAACCAAGGTTGTCCTCTACAAACAGTTCTTCTATGAGGTCCTCACTACTCACTAATACCAAATCTAAAATAGCATCACCTCTTGTTGGTTCAGCAACTATTTGATGAAGAAATCTGCCAGCTATCACATCCAGGAAAATGTAGGCCCTACTGTTAGTAGTAGCACTTTGTCCTCTGATCTATATCTGGGAAGTTAGTTTCCCATAATCACACAATTACCAGTAGTATGTATTTAATCAAAAACATTAAAGATGTCTCTGTCCATCTCCAAATTGGATCCTGGTGATCTGTAACACACCCCAAGTACTGTATCAGGGGGACCTCTAGTAGCTTTCTTCCCCAAAGTGATTTTGGCCCAAACAGACTGTCTTATCCATTCCATCACTTCTAATTTCTTTACAGTCCAACTCATCAATATACAGTGCTATTCCACCACCTTTTCCTTTATTTCTGTCTTTCCTGAATAGCACATACCTGTCAATACCTGTACTCTAGTCAGGATTACAATTCCACCATGTTTCTGTTTACCCTAATATCTGGTTTCACTTCCTGCACCAGTAGTTCTAGTTCCTCCATTTTGTTAGTCGGGCTCCTTGCATTGGTGTACAATCATCTTAATTGTGGGCGAAGCCAAGCAGCCACATTCTTTGCCCGACTGGGAACACAGTCATTCTATTGCTAATCTGACTAGTATCGGCACTATTCCTTCCCCTTAATATCCATTCTCCTACCCCCTACTGTTCCTTTCTTACTTGATTTTCCTCCCTCTCAATGTTAAAATCAGGTGTGCAGATCACATGAGCATCTCCCTAGAGAGCCTAGTTTAAAGCTCTTTTAATCAGTTGTGCTAACCTCCATCCCAGAAGTCTATTTCCCTCCATACTCAGGTGGAATCCATCCCATGGGAACAGCACTCAGGGTTAAAGTCATAGAAGAGGCATGTTAACGTGGGCAGTTTAGATCTTGTGTACTCTGTGTTCCTACTGATGTAAGATTTTTTTTGTTGAATTTGGAAAATAGAAAAAGGAGGTTGGGCATTTAAACACAAAACTTATCATATGAACAATAACCTGTTAGGCTTCAGCTCTAAATGATAGTGCTGTGTTTAGGAAATGCATATTGAAAATGAACCTTTATGAACTGAAAGTGAGATTAGGGCTGAAACACCCTATAATCAAAAGCATAAGAGTGGCACAGAGAGGAAAATAGGATGGTAGACAATGACATGGCTGTAAAGGAAATAATACATTGATGCCTCCTGCCCCCCACCCACCCTCATCCTAGAAACCTAGGCCAAAAGCAAGTCATTTCTATATCTACAATGTAGTACATTATATTCTCTAGGGGCCTGACTCAAATCCCACTGAAAATTTTGGGTGCCTTTCCATTGACTTTATTGGGCTTTGTCTTAGCCCCTAGAAACTGTATTTCTGATCAAGCTATACATTCCTTTGTTAGCTGATAAGACAGCTACAAACTGCAGCCTGAATTCAGCAGACCCCATGTGTAGGCCTGCAATAGTGGTGGTGAGTATGGCGTTTCCCCTCTTTCCCTTGTATGGGCCATGGAAAGGCTAGAAAGAAGGACAGTCCTTGTGCATGATTTAGCCCTCAAAGTTCATGGTGCATCACATGGCCATTGACAGATGAGGTTCTGACCAGCTAGTCCAAGACATTTGGAAGAACAAGTCTGAGAGCTTTTCCACTGTGTTTTGTTTTAAAGAGCACTTTATAAAACTACCTATTCTGCTTTTACAGCAGGTTGAATCCAGTGCAATAAGAGCAGAATTTGGCTCATATTTTTGTAACTACTCAAACAAGGGAAATGTCTCTTTCAAAAGCACTTGATCATAGTGTTTCCTCCATTTTTTCTCCTTTAGAGAAAGGCAAGCTTAAGCAGGACTGGCATGTTATGGCCTACTATCTTATTGGGGGGAGGGGGAGAAGAGAAGAAAACAAATGACTCATGGTATTTGCAAAGTGGCTCTTATTCCATACCAGGTGGTGTTGGGAATGTTTTTCAACATGAGTGGGAGTTATGTACTCTGTACACATGTACCAGTTTGGGGATAGGTTGTAGTGGCTTTTCTACAGAGCCTGGAGTTATTCTGGAATACGTGTGTCCATAATTGCACTTTAAAATTCACACTTTAACTCAAGCTGGCATTTGATAATTTGGATTAAGATAAAGACACTTGAAAATATTGTGTTCATCCTTCATCTGGAGAAGTTACATAAATTCTTGTAACTTGAATCAGACGTATGTACTGTACTCTCTAGCAGTAAAGGGGGAAGAGTGTCAGCACAAGGCTGTTTGAGGAAGGGCATAGAGCCTTATGCAACATGTTCTGTACAGGGCTAAACATCACCACAAAGAGTGATTGCCTGATTCTCCTCCCGTAAGAGCTGTACACTGAGGTACCTCAACTCTTTTCAATGGACTTACTTCCAGTTTACACTGGTCCGAGAAGAGAATCAGGTCTGTGACTTCAGAAGGTATTTCCACAAAGGACTAGAAGACAGCTAATCAAGATATTTAGGAATTAATAGAAATTAAATTATGCACACCATTTTTTTTCTGTTTAAGATGTTTTAATAAAGATTTGTTTTTTCCTCCCTCTCACTGTACAACACATTTCAATGTACATCAAGCTCAGATAAAAAATAAAGCTTTCTTACAAATTACATTTTTCCAGTGAATCTTTTTTTGGCAGTAAAAAATAGCTGCTACATAAATCCCTCCTGATCTCTGAAAAAGGAGCCACATTTCCAAAAATAGAATTCATATTTTAATCAGATGGGATAAACCAGGGGAAAAAAAAAAAGGCTTGTATATAAATTGTTTTTAAAAGGACATGCATAGAAGTGAAAAAACATGCACCATTCATCCATGTTAATGTTTTCATTTTCAGTTAGGAGAAACAGGCCCTTTATGCCCCAGACTACATTAGTTTCTTGTCAAAATGCCAAAATGAACAAAGTTTGCCAGCTACAGTTATGGCAAAATATTCAACCAATACCATCCATCTAACTTTCATATTACAGGCCTACAGTATAATCATGTACTAGGCATTTTACAGACTTCCTCAAACTGCAAAATGTTCTATGGCCTATTCAAACATGAAACAAATGTTTACATTCTTCCTATTTCAAACGCACATACAATTAGTTTAAATTACATTATACAATATCTGTTAAATAGGAACATTAAAGAACTTCAAGAAGCAGCATATAAATATATACAAACTGACTTGAAATGGTGTGATTTTTTCACTCTCCCTTGAAAGGAAAAAATAATTGCTACACCTAGTTTTGAAACGTAAAACAAAAATGTTTCTGTACCTAACATGTTTGTGTAATAAAATGTACGAGACAAATTTCTCTCTCTGCTTTAAAATAAAGGTTACATAGGTTATTTTTAAAAATGCATATCATGATGTAAGTAACGTGGTTGTTAGAATTCTAGCTCAAAACTTGATGTATTACTGGTCACTCTCCAACCTTTGGTATTAAAAACAACCCATAATTATATGGCAGTGTAAAAAGCCAAAACATTTAACCCTAGAGCATTTTCACGTCTTCAGGTTAGAGCTAGGCACTGTGCCATCCGCCACACTGCTCCAAAGAACTTGGTGCAGCAATACTTGAAGCCATTGCGTCTGATGAAATAAGGCCACTTCTTCCTTCAGCTTTCCCCGATTACAAAACCAGTTCAAGGTCCTTATTTCTTAACAGTTGCACCAATCTGAACAGTCAAAAGACTGACTGCAGATGGGTCCTAGTCACAGTTCAAAATCTTGCAATCTTTGCCAGTTTTGCATGATATTGCAGTGCTCAATCTTCTGTGTCTAGCTGCACTCCCAGCATGGCATGAAGTTCCTCTGCCGTGTACCCCAGCAGGTTCTGTAGGTCACATACAAACCGGTACACGTAGCGTTTCCCTGACGTCTTGTGGATGATGTTCTTGTCATAATAATAGCGCAGGCCTCGGCTTAGTTTCTCATAGTTCATTTTTGGCTTGTTTTTCCTCCTTCCCCACCGTCGTGCCACCTTCAGCCCCAAAGGGGGAGGAAAAAAGGCAAAAACAAACTAATTAAAGCATACTATCTTGGTTGCTAAATAAGTTTAATTTTTCCATTTACCATCATCTAACCAAGTCATTTTGATGGTTCAAATGCCATCAAATCATTGAGGATACTTGGATGAGTAAGAGCTGAAGCCTTAACAAACAATCTCTGATTGAGTTATTGGCCAGACTTTGATTAAAAGGAATAAGACCTAGGGTCTATGAACGTGACACCAATAGACAGTGGATGGGTGCATGAGGCACCTTGCCACAAAAGGGGTTTAAAAAAAAGCTGTTAGTGCAAGAGAAGAGGCTAAGGTGAATTCTTCTCTCTCAAAGAAGAACCACCTCACATGTGAGAGAGTACTGTAAAGTGAAAGTTGAATTATGTGAAGTCACTTAAGACCATATCCATATCCAAAGCTCACTGAAGGCAATGGGAGTCTTTTCATTGACTTCTGTAGGCCTTGGATCAGGCCCCTTAACTGCATCAGAAAGTGATTCCATCATCCATTAGAGGGTTGGAGTTTATTCTCTTAATGACTAGTTTTAATTTCCAAGTTATCACAGCAGTCATTTGATGCATGTCTAAAAACAGACCTTTGAAGGCCTCGGTATTCTGTGCATCTGCCATGTTTCTCTCAATTCCCAGAGGTTTTTATCAATTAAGTTACTTTCTTTAAACAGTTAAGCAATGCTGTAAGTTAAACGTAAAGGCAGCATGCAGAGTAAGGCTATAATACACTAAACTTTTACGTACACCTAGGTACTTGACTGATGCTCTAAGTCACCCAGACTGCACAGTAAAGCATTTACAGAGGCAGAGACGCCTGATCTTGTAAACACTTTGCCTTGAGGGGTGCCTTTCACTGATGTAGGATCAGGCCCTAGATTTTTATTAAATCACAATTAGCCACATACCTCATCTGGGTCAGCAAGTTTAAACTCCCATCCATCTCCAGTCCAGCTAATAAATGACTGACAGGATTTGTCTGTTAGTAACTCCAGAAGGAATTGCCACAGTTGTATAGGTCCACTGCCTGTAAAAACCAAGAAGAGTAAAATTATTAACCATAACTAAGGGATATAGTAAGACACATACCATAATCCTAAGATTTATCTGATATAATTTTAAGATGTTTGGCTGAGGCAAAGAACAACGACTGTTTCTGTAACAGGAATCTGCTGAAGGATACATTATAATGAACTTTGTCCACTATTTTAATTCGAAGTAGTTATTCGAACCAAGCTTTGCTTCTCCCCCCACTTCATTCCTTTCTGCTGGCAGCTATATTTAAAACCTTAGGGTCCTAAACTAAAGTCCTTGCCCTGATGAAGCTTTCAGTGATGAGCATTTTGCCTGAGTAAGCACTCTAGGAATGAGTGCTTAGTGGGTGAGTCAGTGCAGGTGAACTCCTTGAACTGAATGAAGGTTTTGTCTGAGTTTCCCTCCTTTTTAGACAGAGGAGGGCTACCAAAAATAGAATGCATTCCAGGTTTTAATACAGTCTGTTTTTTTATTAGAACATTGCATTATTAGTGAAGAAGTCATTCATGAACAAACGATGAGTAAGGAAGCGTGTACCTCTCAACCTCCCTTTATCAAAAATGGACATACACCCACACAAAGGATCAGAAACGCGAGAACAAGAGATATATTGCGTGACATCACTTGCCTGTAAAGCCTGCTAGAATTGCTGCTGGTATAACTGGTTTCCCTTGCTCTACAGGATCACTTCTTTCTTGAATGTAATCTTTGAAAGACATTGTAGGTTTGTTCAGACATAGAGACTGGCTACAATCATCTTCAAAACTTTCATAAGAGGGCACACGTTGTACATCCACTAAAGATGATTGGCTGTTCCAGGACTGAAGTTGAGAATCTGTGCTTTCATAACTTTCTGTGCCGCTGTCACTGGATTCATGCTCTCTAGGCTTACCTAAAAAATTAAATAATGGTTGTTATTCACTTTTTTCTTAACGTGGTTTATACATACAAAATAGAGTGCACAGAGCATAGAGCCTTAAACTAATAATTAGCAAATGGATAAGCTAAGTCTTACCAGAGTTATCTATCAGCAAGTTCAGATTGTTTGTGAAGTCGTGGGTCATGGAGCAGTAGTTCACATTGACTGTCTCTAACTGAGCTTTGGGGAACATGGAAAATTCTTGATCTGGGCTGAGGAGATTTGGTCCTGCAGAAGTCTGACATAAGTCACTCAGGAGGCTGGCTTTGGGGTAGCTATGCATTTGCATACCATAAGGGGCCTGTTCTGTATTAAAACCTAAAGTGGGAAGGAGAGGGAGAAAAAAAAGGAATGGATTAGTTATTCACTACAGTCCTTCTCATAAATGTAATACCTCCATGTAAGCAGAACAAAACCAAGTCAACCCTTCCACTGCAACACAGACGTACAGTTATGCCACCAAAAAATATTTTTTAGCTGAAAACCTGACTGGGTATGAATGATAGGCTATGTGTCTAATCCAAAGTCTACTGAAGTCAGTTGAAGGACTCCAGCTGACTGCACTAGGGTTTGAACCAGGTTCTGTATCACACAACCTATATCTGCTGTATGATTCACAGATTGCCAGTTGTGCACAGAGCTCTCTGGGGTTTCCCAGAATGACAGAACACATAGAAAGTGCTGGGGAGGCAGCTAGGTGGTCCATAGCAGGATTCCTCTCGTGTTAACTGATCAGCAGATTAAGAGAAATGTACTGAAAATACAACCTCATACATATAAGCAGTATTTGGGGGTGGGGGTGAGAAAGATGTCAGGAGAGGGCCACTGGTCCGTGCTCTCCCTCCCTATTTACTCCATCTGCCCTCCGAGGCTCTATATTGCATCCACCTTCCTTCTACCAAAAAGGACCAAAATATGACTCCTGCTGGATCCCATCAGTGCTGCTTTTAGATTCAGCCTGGTAGTTGTGGTAATGGCCAGTTTGTACTAAACACTTGATTTTTGGCAATTCGTGTACCAAAAACAAAATCTGGGATTTCATAAATTTTCTGCACAAATCAAGACTTTTGATTAACCACAGCTTTCACATAGTCTTCTTTCCTCCTGGTTTCACTGACTCCAAGGATTTGCCTCAAGAAAATATCTAGTCTGATTATTTTCAGTGTTCAAACCAACTTGCAGAATTACAGTGTGTGATATCACATGCAGCATAAAGCCAAGGAAGTGATTTTAAATGTCAACCAAATCAGGATACCTACTTAATGAGTTGTTATTGACCCAGTGTGGGACTGAGGTAAGATGAGAGTTTTCAACATATTGGTCCAGTCTCTTCTCTTGACTGTCTGAAAACAGAACAAATATTCTTTTTACACATCTGACCAGGACATTATGGGGAACTTCAAAGCGACTGGAGGTATTTCTGACAGTTACATGAAGTTAGTCACCTGACATCAAACTTTCAAAGAAATAACTGCTAGTAGGGAAAATGTCATGCCAATGGAATTCTAATATTTAATCTGTCTAAAAATCTGCAATAAGGCCCTGATCCTGCAAACACTTCAGCAATTGCTTAACTTCATGCACATGTGCAGTCTCATTGAGGTCAAGGGAATTATATGTGTACTTAAAAGTTTGTAGGATCTGGGCATTAGGTAAGTGTTTTACACACAGGACTAGAACAGTGAAGAGACAAAAAGCAAAACCACCAAAATCCCGCTAGACAAAAGAACACTCAACTTCCAAAGCTGTTTGTTTGACAAATGATTAAATGAAAGACAGCTTATGGTAACAATGGGGAAAGGAAAAAAAAAAAAAGTTTCCCCTTCTTTTTCAATAGTTATTTTGCCTCTCATTTTATCAGATGATATGGGTGGGCAGATCCCTGCATCCATGTGAAGCCTCTTGACAAAATTTGTCCTCATCCCTCTTTTGTCTCAATGAAAGCATCCTCAAGTCTCTCTGTCATTCCTACATTCATTCACTGACTTATTCCAAAACACTGGTAAGAGTCACTAGTAACATGAATTGACCTAATTTGACTTTTGGTTACATATTTTTTTCAGATTTGAATTATATATTGCATCAGATCTACCCTAATCTCATTTATATGAATGACCATTCCGTATAAAACTGCTGCTGAGACAACTGCACAGTCTGGCAGTAATTGACAAGCTAGTGACAACTGATGATTGCTTTTATGGTCTCCAGAAAATGATTTTTTTTAAAGATACCTTTGATAATGTTTAAAGATTTTAAATTCTCTGAGTTTTTTAGGCAATTACAAAACCACAACTTGGTGAAATACATCAGTTGTGTTTGACAAGGTTGCTTTGTTAGCCAAAAAGGACTCCTGCTCTGTGATCCTATCTAGTTACCTTTTATCATCTGTTCCAGGTGTTCCCACAGAATGTCGCCTACATAATCAGGAGCTAGCTCCAAGAAACGTTCCTTGCCCAGGCTGCACAAGTCTTGGCCGTTCATAACAAACCGATGAAAGTTCACATTTGCCAAACTAAACTCCCTGGTAGCCCAGAAAAGCCACTGGCAAACCTGCTGTTCAGTCCACAGCCAAGGATCTGCAAATGGGGAGTGGGGGAAGAGAAGAAAAAGAGCATAACATTTAGAGGCAACTCTTGATAGTTACATTCATAAGAACCTAAAATAAGTTTAGTTAAAAAGATATTGAGTGAGGGCTCATGTTTAAAAAGTTATCTAGGAGATCTAGTTCTGAAGCTCAAATATCAGTGATTTATTCTTAATTTTAAGTCAGTGCTCTAATTTTTCCTTCTATCTTCTTTTAATCAGTGGATGAGCTCAGTTTACTTGCTCCTCTCTTATGTTGTCGTCTAACCAATCAGCATAATTTTTGCACTAAAAAGGTTATAAAAAGAAAGCACTTACTATTCGGGATACCCAGACGACACTGTTCCTTTGCGAAGCCACTGAAAGTAGCTTTTAAGGCCTGACTCATCACAGCCTTACTGCATGGGGTTAAGAGAGGCAATTCACAGCTGTTTGACTCTAAAAGAATGAAGGGGGGAGGGGAAAAGAGAGAAACATTAGCATTTAGGCTAATGAACCAGACAGACAACGGAGAATCCACTATGTTATATGCATCCGAAGAAGTGGGTTGTAGCCCACGAAAGCTTATGCTCTAATAAATTTGTTAGTCTCTAAGGTGCCACAAGTACTCCTGTTCTTCTATGTTACTTAAAGAACAAGCAAAAGAGGCTTCCAACTATAAAATGGGACCAACTATGGCAAGCCTTATTTGTATGTAATAGGTTAGTTTATGCCAGCGTTTAAGATTTTGTTGCAGCTAACGATGCAGACTCAGATTGACTTTGGTAGTACGAAATATGCCTTTGTTATGTAGAGTCAATTATCTTTATTAGAAAATAAGAAGACTGCTGCTTCTTCTTTTCCTCCTCTATAATTTGAGAACCAAGTGATCTCTTGTCAACTCCAGATACCCTGCACTGAGCTTGAGAACTAAGTAACAGGCAGGGTAGCAGTGAGGAGTAGGCTTGTGGGTACATTTACCACTGCACTAGATTGAATGTCAGACCCACTCATGCATAGATCAGTCAATTGAATTTGTGGTGTTGTCATGCCTTATTCAATGATTAGACTGTAAAACATTTTTGGTCACAAGCTAGTTCCCAATGCCAAATTTATGTAACTGGCTGATGATCATGGTACTGAATTTTATGCAGCCATAAACTGTTATAAATTCTTAATCTAGATAATCAACTCCTTAGTTAATGCTGCAACCAACTTCCATTCAAAAGAATAATTTAGCCCCATCCTATCTTCTTTATTAGAAAGATTTGGCATGAAAATGTCCAGACTTCTTCTGGAAGTAAAGAGCATTTTCAAGAAAAGTTTGAAGAAAATTGGTCAATTTGTTTTTGCATTACATGTCATTAAAAAAAGTTAACTGGATTTGATATTCTGACTGGTGTCTAACATTTCCTCGGGTTCCCTCTAGCTTGGAACCAGGTTGTCACTACCTCTTCAAACTTTCAACTTTCCACAGATCTCTTTGAAAACGAGTGCACAGATTGTGGTTGACAAAGTTAGGTTGCACTCATGTTGTTAATAATCGCTACATCTAATAATGTTAGTGTCACAGGGAGAGTGCGCATACACGTGTGATAAGCTGTCAGGCTTTAGGACTGTGCATGAATCTGCAAAGCTAATCTAGCTATCTATGGCCTGCAATGAGCTCCACATTAGCAAGCAGGTCCCTCTGCACACATGTGGAGCTCATTGCAAGGTTGAATAAAAACTTGGATGCAACACCCATCACCACTGTATCTGAGTAGCTTGGGAATAAGCCAGTCAGAGAGATCTGAGGTGAAGATAAATGGAGATCTTTTAGTGATTACAGTCCTGCTACAAGGATTTCAATGTGTTACTTAAGCAAAGTTTCTAAAGCTGCAAAATAAACCTGACAGAAAAGGGGACCAAGGACCTTGCAGAGTTCTACATTTATACACGTTCAGCAGGACTAAATAGAGCTCTAATATTCTGTCTTGACCCATTTTAAAAATACACCAACTTGAGTTATAGAAATGAACAAGTAAAGGTAGGTAAAGATTATTAGTAATGTTAGTCTTAACAGATACACATATCCAAAGACCTCTTTAATTCTGCTCCAGTATGCGTAACTGGCCTTCTACAGACAACAGATCCTCTTATATTCACACACCCTACTTCAGTGTAGGTTTTCAGTAAGGGAAGCTGTAAGCTAGCAATAGAACTACTCATGTGAATAACTTAAGAATGTATGTAAATGTCTGCAGGACTGAAGCCTTAAACTAATATTTAAAAAAGTCTTCTCTATTATTAAAGACTTATTGTTGCGCATTGTAGGTAACAGTGACAGAAACCTAGTTAGAGAAACCAGCACTTTCTATTTTGACTGATGTGGCTGATCAAACTAAAACACAAAAAACAAACAATATTTACCATAAGAAATTGAATCAAACCCTGTTGGTACTTCTTGAAGGGTTTGATCTTCATTTAAAGAGGGAAAATATCCTGCAAACAAAGAGTTTGTGACATCAAAGACGTCAAATGCTGGTTGATGCTGCAAAACAGTTTAAGAAAAAGAATATTCAGTGTAAGTATTCTGCTAGAGCACTGCTAACAGCAACTGCAAAGAGGACGGGTTAAGTTAGTATCTGGAGATTATGTACATACAGTCTAATAATTATTAATGCAGTGTTAAGGGTTGTATAGTTAAAATAAAATTAAGGTTTCAACAGCAATGTTCCTGTGTGGCACATTCTATATGTCCTATGGTAAACATTTTTTTTTTTTAAACATGAACAGTGGAATACTAAGCTACACATTATACAAAATAAGCTAATGCTATATTTATATACTGCAGATGAACTAATGTTTGTTTCCTGTCCTTCTGGGCCAGACCCACAGATGGTGTAAATCAGAATAGATCACTGACTTCATTGGAGCTAAACTGGCTTACATAATCTGAGGATCTGGCCTTCTGATTTTTGACTGTGCAACTCTGATACACTAAAATGCCAAAGAGCTGTGTTTAATCTTTTCAAAGACAATGCTGCCTGTATTAAATTGTTAGAAGTTAAGTCACCCCAATTAGGCTTTTATGGTTCTACCTCCATAGAGGTGAGAGGATCAAGTTCCCAGATGAGTGGTTATTGACTGGAGGCAGCGTTCTGCAAGACTGTGTTCGAAAAGCAGGCTGCTTTACAGTGTGTTTACAGTGTGACAGCTGCATCTTTAATTCAAAGATACTAGACTATTTTAAACTTGAGGAGATACAAAGAAAACTACAAACTTTCATTATAGTAGGCACAACTAGCAGCTATTTTAACCTTTTCTATAACTGAAGTTTTATTCTAAACAGGTTTGTATCTAAATTTTAACTGATTGCTAAATTGTAAAGAGAGATTAGTATCATTTTTAGCCTTGTAATAGACTGCTAATGATAATGACTTCCTTTAAGTGCTAATTATTATACTAGAAGGACTAGTGAATTATAACAAAATAATTGCCAATGTGAAGATGCAAGTAGGTTTACTTACATTTTTGGAAATATTTAATCTGAACCACATTACTGTAAGACTTTTACATGATTTATGAAGAAGAGTCTTTTCTTGGGTTTATTTTATTTTGTGGTTTAGGTTACCTGATTGTACCAACTACTGCATTTCACAAAAAGCAGCTTGTTAATCCTCAGCAGTCTCTAATGAGCCTTTGCTAGTTTAAACAAACGAACAAGAATAAGCAGGACTGGCTATAATAGAATGTTTGAGGGGAAAAAGGAGAGTGATTTCTGATGAGCTAATAGTCACTTTTATTAAAGATTACAAATATTTGTAGAAAATCTTGTCTATCATTCAAATTCTGAAGTGCTCTAGTTGGGAGGTGCTGTGTACATGCAAAGTTATTACTGAATCTCCCAGGCCACATGCACCCCTTCTTAGTAAATATGTCTAAAAGTTACAAGCTTTTTCTACAAAAGTGAGCTGAATAAGTTTATACTTAACATGCCAACTAGTCATGAAAAAGACTTGTAGCAACAGGCAGAGGCTATCACTAGAAATTCCCATTGATGAGATTTTTAAAACAAAAAAACAAAAACGCCACAAGCCAAACCTGTGGATACAGTATTTGGAAAGCTACAGAACACAGCAGTGATACCCATATGAGAGCATCTGCAGTAAAGGGGAGCCAGAGACTAAGGAAACACATACAATATCTGTTGATGGTTCCTATTTGCTTAGGCATCCACTTAAATGTTAATGTCAAGGTACAAATTTCAGTTGAGAATAAGCTAATGCTCCTCAGCATAACACAGATTTGCTCTCAATTGACTGTACTAACTTAAATTGTTTTTGCAGAATAGCATATTAAGTATCTGGTCTTTCCCTGAATCCACCCTGGTTCCTTTCTGGAGTTTACAGCGTCTCTATTTCGGTGTATGGTGCTATTTTTGTTTTGAAAACTGGCAGGGCAGAAATTCAAGAAAGACACTTTGGCTTGTATGTAGTATTGAGGCTGGTTTTTATAACAAGTTGCTATGCATTTCAGTATGTAATTCATGGCAGCCTATGATCCACAGAAGGAAGAGGCTGGCATGAAGAAAAATCTAGAAGTCTTCCTTCTAATGGCTAATTTAGTCCAAAAATACACTGAGCTGACCGGCAGACTTAAAGTAATATTGTTCATACTAATTAAGACTGTTCATGTACATATGATAGCAATAAGAAAAGTCAGAGTAAAGATACTTGAAAGATTTGTTATCTGTGAAATAGTTAATAAAACCAGCTGGTCTGCTACTAAAAATGCTTTACATGTTAATAGATAATAGTTCTGATTCACCATTTGTATCTAGAGAAAAGGCCAAGTTATTTCAACATAATCTGGAAACTCCTGTATTTTGTGTAAATAAGTGACCCTTACAGTGACTCACTGGAAAAAAAGCAGTAGTATATGAATGAGTAGAAAGCATACTGTACTCTAGTCTCAAGTTTCAGAAATGAGAAATTAGTTAATGTTTGAACATTGCTCTGAATAGGTAATAAAACCTTATATGGGATAAATCCTGCTCACCTTACTCAGTGTTAAAAAAAAGAGGCAAGCAAGCACTATGTGGTTTCATTGCAGTTATGTATAAATTTAGTAATACAGTGCAAAACTTGAAGCAAATCCAAAAAAATTGGAAACAACTATGCAGTGGTGGAATAGAGTTTTAAGGGTTGACATAAGATTGCGACAAATTTTAATCTATCTCCAATTTCCTTTGTGCCTGGCATAACTCCTGCACGGGAGAGCACTCAATTCACAAATTTCACATAAAGCTTCCTATTATGCTCTATGAAATGAATATTTGGTTGGTTAGCAAAACAAATTATATAAGCAAGTTGGAAAAAAAAACATTTGCAACTGACTTTAAATGAGACTGATATATTGTCTCTGAAACACTGGCATTTCTCATAGCTTTCTAGGCCAAAAAGTTTGACAGGTCTTTATTCAATTTGCCTTGATCACCACAATACAAGTGACCAATGCTGGCTATAGATCTTTCATGAATAATTACAAAAAAATAATTAGTTACATGGATGCCCTTGCAGACATTTACAAAAATGAAATATTTTAAATTCTGTTTTTTCTAACCTGTCCTTGATCTGTAAGTATCTTTCAAAGCAAGTCAAGACACTTGAACAACTGTTTCTTACAAATGAGACTGAATAGTTTTCATGCATTTTACTCTAGATTTTCACATAACCACAGAGAACTTAATTTTCCTCATACTAGACTAATGCTTTTATATATATTAGTCCTATCAAAATACATTGACAGCCTTGCATGAAGTTAAATATAGAAAGACCATATCTAGGACCCAATTCTGCTGCCCTTACTTACACAATTCTGATTGAATTGGAATGGATTAGAAATCAGAATCTGACTTTTCATCTTGCTTTCCAATCTTTAGGATGGGTTTGTCAAATGTATATTTTCCTCTTTAAACAGGGTGCTTTAAATGGCTAGGTATAAAGTGCTTGCTCCTTATCTTATAGAAGTGTCAACAAGAAGGAACCCAAATGTAATTAGTGTAGTCTCTCCTCAGCATGCATATGCATGTCTCTCACTAACATGAGAAATGTGTGCATGAAGTGGGAGATTAGGCCACTTGTTTTTAAGCATCTCTCCTAGGAAAACTCACCTTGAGCATTCCTCTGTAGATGTTAGATACAGGAGCTACCTGATCCATGTTCTTGATTCCAAAGTCACTCATCTGAAATGAAAACAAAATGTATGAAAAACTTGTTCTTGCAGAAGGTAAGAGTCCATTAAAAGAAGCACCTTATCTACTCTATTGTAGAACATAAACTTGTAATACAACAAAATGCTTCATTCAGAGAATCCTCTGACAAGGCAATAATATGAAAGCTTTCATCTGGAGTACTATGTCCTCAACACTGGGCATGATTTACACGTTTTGAATTGGGATGAACTCCATCAAAATCATTAACATTAAAATGGTATGAGACATGTATATGTGAGAAGGATCAAGCTCTTAGTATACAAGATGAAAGACTTCCTAGTGCCTAAGTTTGTTGAATTTAAGTTTACAAGCCTATAAAAATTCTTTGCTTGCCAAGTATTTATTGCTTATCCATAGGTACCTTCAAGTTTTGGTCCCACTGCTTTAAGTGTTCATGCTTTGACTTTTTGAATTTTGACTTTGTTTACTGGATTTTTACTAACCACCCATAAATGACTTACGACTGTCTCTTTCCAACTAGGGGTGTGGGGCTGCGTGTAAGATTTAGTGATTCCTCTTTGTTTTCACTCAAAATATTTTGGAACTAAATCTTGGACATATGTATTTTGGGACAATCCAGAGTACACACAATCAAGTACTGATACAGGTTGTTTATAATGTGAATTATTAACCTGAGAAAATGTAGCTTCTGATAGATGGATACAAGTTTCAGTTATTTACTCTTTGACAATCAGTTAAATAAACAGTATTTGGAGACTAAGCAAAATAAGCAACAACCCATTATGAGCAGATGTAATTTCACAACACTACAGGGTTAGGTACTTTGGACACATCAGAAGGAACATGCAGTGAGAAATCTCTGAAAAAGCTGACTGTGTCTGGATGGTAGATGTTCTAACTATTACACATTTTACATTCTCTCCCCTTTTATGGAAATCGCAACAGTCTATTCCAAAGACTGATCCGAGTATTTATTAAAGAAAATATCCCCAAAGTGTTACACTACCGTTTTGCACACTCATAACTTAAAATGTAACCAAGTTTGGTAAAAATATTTGTTTGGGGATCAACTGTCTGCCAAGTTTCTGCCTAAAATATCTTACTACAGTTATAAACTCAACATCTTAAGAGGGTTTGTAATATAATGGGACTGGTAACAGACTTGCCTGCAGTAGCATAAAAATACTATCCTGTGGCCTATAATACAATGAACAGAATTGTGTGTGATTTTATGACTAGTTCTAAATCTATGTTTGACAAAATAGTGAAATATTCATAGTAGCTCACTTAGCAAGGGAGTTTCAAACAGAAGGCAGGACCGTAGGCTTATGGGCCTTGCTCTGGCTTATCATAAGGACAAACCACATTAAACATAAATGCTTTATCAGAATCCACTGAGACACTGTTCATTTAAAACTTTTCCTTTCACTTTGTCTTAGCACAATGCTGGCTTCTCCACCCTCACAGAAAGTGTATAGAAATTAGTATTAGTCCATAAATGCCATATCAGGAAAAGGTCAGCCTCACCATTCCCACATCAAAGCTGTAGTTATTAGAAAACCAAATTCTTTCTGCCCCTCTTAGTTAGTTCTATATACATGTATAAAAAATAATAATAATAATAAAAAAAAATCAAGTACTCAAAAGAAACTAAGCAAAACAAACAGCTTGCTGAAATGATACACATCCAAAGTATCTATATAAATAAACCAATAAAATCAGTCTCTTTTTCTCTTCTCCTTTGTCTGATCACTTAGGGTATGTCTACACCCAGCCGCTAGTTCGGCGGCTGGCAATCGAAGTTCTGGGTTAGACTTATCGCGTCTTGTCTGGACGCGATAAGTCGAACCAGGAAGTGCTCGCTGTCGACTGCGGTACTCCAGCTAGATGAGAGGAGTACCGCGGAGTCGACGGGGGAGCCTGCCTGCCGCGTGCGGACCGAGGTAAGTTCGAACTAAGGTACTTCGAACTTCAGCTACGTTATTCACGTAGCTGAAGTTGCGTACCTTAGTTCGATTTGGGGGTTTAGTGTAGACCAAGCCTTAAAATCCTAAATATTTAAACTTAAAGGCTCATTTTGATTTGTGTCGACTGTTCTTCCACATACAAAACTCGACTGAAAATAGAAAACTGCATTTGAGGCACAATACAGTCAGGTAGACTCCACCTAAATATGGAAAATGCTAATTGGTGTGATTTTGTGGAAATGAGAACACAAAATATCCCATCTCTATTATGAATGTGTTGGTAATGAATAGTGATCTCTACACAGTTCAGGTCATAAATTCACTCATCAAGTGTCCTCCATCCCTTCCCTGAAGATATTACAATTTTAAATTAACAGCTTATCCTGCTAATCCTGTTGTTGCTCCTTTTCAGAGTATAATGAATTTCTAAAGCTTTTTTTAGTTTCTAAGTTACTACTCTTTATATTTTAATGGTCTCTAGCTATGAGCCTCAACTTCTAGATATAGCTGCAATTTATGATGCAGAAATGCTTCTGTATATGTTTTCAATAACCTTAATTTTTGGCCCATTGTTTATTGTGATTAGTCTGAAGATTTCAGATGAAATCCTGGCCCCATTGCAGTCAATTGTAATTTTGCCAATGACTTCAAGAGAACCAGGATTTTACCTGTCATTTTTTTGATTTGTCTCAGTAAGTGTTCACAATACAAGTGGTATTTTATTAAAAAATAGTATCACAGGCATTTCTTCCAGTATATTAAACTAGTCACTATTTCTCTATGCCAGTCTACTCACTTGCTATTTCAAGCACAATCACTTTCCCTTTTTGTCAGTATTGTATGTTTTGAAGGCAACTGGAAATAGACACTGTAGCACACAATTATATGCCAAAATCCTCAATATTTATTTTCCTTTGATCAAATTCTTCAAGTACAATTTGTATGACAAATGAAAGGATTATTCATAGTGTTACCAGTTTGGGCGATCTACCAATGAGGCAAAGGTTTCCAGCTCTGTGATAGGGAACTCACTAGCATACTGGAAAATAAACTGGGCTGAGTGAGTGTGCGATACAGATCTTTGCAATAGAGAGACTTAAAGTTGGAGTATTTCATTGAGATAGTGAATGTTGTTGTTTTAAGTTCTTAAAAAGGCACAATGGCTCAATGTGATTGGGCCTCACTACCCACTCCTTCACTAAACACTGACAACTGATTCCTTGGCTACAATGAGCCTAGCTAGCAGAACACCTTTGTCAACACCTGTGCATGGCTGAGAGTGGGTGAACCTAAACAGACTCAACAGGATCAAGCAATTAACTAATACTTCTTCTGAATGCTGGTCAACTTCTTTCAGCAATAACCAGGTACTTCCTTTACCTAGAGTAAGCCTGTACCTATTTAAAAGAAAAACTAAATCAGTGTTAATATTTGAGACCTAACTAATTAAGCAGCTAGTCTTCATAGGCTAGATCCACCAGTTCTTCCCAAGCAAAACTCCATCTGACTTCAAAGTGTTTTTATAATGGCCTTAAAAAAAAAAAAAAAAAAAAACTAAAACCACACACCCAAGAAAGCTCTTAATTTCTAAGTTTAACTATTAGATTCCAGTTAGTAGTGATACTACCTTAAATACATGACAGATGACTTGTCACGCAGTTGATACACTTGCCCATAAAAATGGTGTAGAAATCATGTAACTAGACCTTAAAAAAAACAAACAAACAACACAACACTACCTTTAAAACTAAAAAAAAAAAAATTAAACCAAAACTTCTGAGGTATCTGCCTACCAACTCTTTGCCCTCACCACTCAGTCACATCCAAAGGACTTCGGTGAGTTCCAATGTTTAACCTACTGCTCAAACGTCCAGAGTATCAGAAACAATTTATGAAACAATTTTTATGTGCCACCTTCTTCCTACCACACTAGTGGAATAAAGGAGATCATCATAACCCAGCTATAGATTCCAAGAACTCACAATTCAGTGCAAGACCAGCCTGGCTAAAAGAACTGCTAAATCTCTCTCACACCGGCAAGGCTGGGAAGAACCTCCCTGTAAGGGGGGAAAACCTTCAAAAAAACAATTTCGATTTGCCCTCTCCGCTTGCCTCCAAATCGGCTCTCTCCCCTACTTAACCGGTGTCACCTGACTCGCCAATCTAAAATATAGCGATTCCCTTTCGGGCTTGTTTCTCGCTCCAAACCTAGGGAGGGGGGCAGCAGCAGGGCTAGCTGAGGGAGCCGGGGGGCGAGGAAGGGTCGTTCCGCGCACAGGGCACTGCCCGCGCCGGAGTTCGAGGCAGCTTCCTCCCTCCCGCCCGCAAAGTTTGGGCGCAGCTGCCCCGGGGCAGATCCCGAGCCCGCTGCGGTCCGGCGCTAACTCCAGGGGCGGCTGCCGAAGCTGGGGCTGTTCGCCTCTCCCTACCAGCGGCCCCACACCCCATCGCTGGCAGACGCAGCGTGAGACAAGAGGCACAGCGGAGCCACACGGCTGCCAAGCGCCCCCTTCAACGCCACCAGTCCCCTCCCCCTTCAAATCCATCGCACCCCCCTCCCCAGGGCCGCCCGGCTGAACCCTGCGCCTTACCTGGGCCGCCCAGAGCCGAGGTCCCGCAGGGAAGCTCTCCAAACCCAGCGCTCGCTGCTGCTGCTGCTCCTACTCCCTCCTCCAAACGCCGCTGCCTCGTCTGGAGCCGAAATCGCCTTTGCGCGGTCAAACCAGCCGCCCCCGCACGGAGCAGAGGGCTCGGCGGAGCAGGAGGCGCGCAGGCGGGGTGGGGTGCGGTGCGTGGGCGCTGCCAGTGCCCGCCGGTGCCGGTGTCTCCGAGTGCGCCGCGCTCCGCTCTGTGCGCTCCTGCGAGCCTTTCGCTGGCTCTTCAGCGGGCAGGAGAAGAGGGCGGAGCTCGCCTCCCTGCGGGCCCAGCCTCCCCGGCTTACATGAGGAGGCGGAAGAGCCGCTTCCTTTTCTTATCGCGGTTGTTGTCCTTTCGAGTCTGTCTGGGCTGCCAAGCAAACAGCCGCCACCCCCTCCCCCGCCGGGGTGTGAAGGGAGCCTGGGCTGGGGCTTTCACGGGCCCCCGCCTCTCTCCTCCGTCTGTTTGTTGTTTTCTTCCCTGAAGGGAGGGGGCCAGCCTGCCTTTGAGGAGTTTACATCACAAAAGAAGAGAGAGGGGGAAGAAATACCTGTATCCTCTGAGAGAGATGGGTGTGATTCTCTCCAAGAGTCCTGGGGAATTCTTCATCACGGATGATCTTATTTTTTTTTAACCCAGAGTGGATGTTTTTCTAAAAGCTCAGCACTAGGCACTATTCGGGGGACGTTCTGTGGCCCCTGTTATACAGGAGGTCAGACTAGATCAGTGATTTTCAACCAGTGCTTAATTTGTAATGAAAGAGGTGCCCAGGCTCACGCACTTAGGTGCTGGGGCTCAAACAATTTTTTTTTTATAATCATAACTGATGCAGCAAGCCCAAAGGTGCCGGGCTATGAATTTCCAAGCCTAAAGGTGCCAGGGCTCAGCCCTGACACAAATTAAGTGTTGTTTTCAACCTTTTTTTCATTTGTGTATCCCTAAAAATTGTGAATGGAGGTGCGGACCCTTTTGAAAATATTAGACATGGCCCACGGACCCCCTGAGGAATGTAACAGCTGTTCTATGGCAACGACAGCTTTTTGCGGACCCCTTACACATAGTCTGTGGACCCCCAGGGGTTGAAAACCCCTGGGCTAGGTGATCATCCTGGTCAAGCCTGGCCTTGGACTCTGTGAAGCTAAGAACATCACAAGCATATAAAATATTTAGTTTTTAATTGAACCAAATGATGTATCCACACTGTTGTAAGATGAGGTGTGTCAGGCTCTTGGGCACAGAGCAACATGAAAATAGTTCTTCAAGTCTGCCTTCCAGCCTGGACAGTATTGAGTGCCATGGTAGAGGATGTATCACGTTAAACTGATACTGGGTTTGTTGGGTATTTTCCATTTATCACTGTAAATACTTCTAAGGATGAAAAAGCACAAATGTTGTCATTTGTTCCAAGCGCTCCATTCCTGTTCATTATTTTTGATGGGGAAGTGGCCATGCCAAATGTTAAATTATGGGATTGATGTAGGAATTTCTGGATGAAATTTTATGGCAAAAGATCATGGTCATAATGGCCCCTTCTGCCCTTAAAATGTATGAATCTTCCAGAACTGAGTACCTTTCATTGAAACACTTCTTGCTATCAGCTTGGTAGCAGATCACAGCTGCTGTAGAAAGGTTTCAGAGTGGTAGCCGTGTTCATCTGTATCAGCAAAAAGAACGAGGAGTACTTGTGGCATCTTAGATACTAACAAATTTATTTAGGCATAAGCTTTCATGGGCTAAAACCCACTTCATCAGATGCATGCAGTGGAAAATACAGTAGGAAGATATATATACACAGAGAAAGCTTATGCCCAAATGAATTTGTTAGTCTCTAAGGTGCCACAACTACTCCTCATTCTTTTAGCTGCTGTAGAATCACACAGAGAGATGATTTCCAAGTAGCCAGCTCCCAAACCATTTAAAGAGTTTTAGATACAAAACCAAGACATTTCATCTTATTCATTTAGTTGGGAGGCTTCAAAAACTTTCAGATGTGTAACCAGGATTCTGGTATAGGTGTGAAATCCAGCTCTACCACATAGAAAGGACAGACAATATCTTGGGACAGCCAAATATTTATTGGCTGTTCTTTTTAATGTAAGCAACAGGGAACTGGGGGAATACAAGTGAGAGTTCAATCTTCTGGGTTGCCTCAGGCAACAAAACCATAGAGCTGACTGTACAGTGTGTTTTTTGTTGTTAAGAAAACCTGGACCTCTCTTTACCTGCAGGACTGCAGTGTATTTATTCTGAGTCTTGATCTTTCTCCCCCTTCATTTATTTCTAGGGTCACAGTGATAAAATTCATGGACCTTTTAGGTTTAAGATAGTTTGCAAGAGACCAGTATTATGTATTTGATTATGTTGATTTGTCTGAGACACTGACTGTTCTTTTTGTATCCTGTAAAAATATTTTGATAAAACGGATGAAATTTTCATTGGTCACATGTGACTTTTTGTTGTGTTAGGGGACAGCACAAGCTGGCTTTTTCAAACTCTCAGGGGAGCCAAGCAGATATTTTAAAGCCTATGTCTCTGATCTTTTCTGAGCTGAACTTCAATATAATCTATTTCTGATTAACTGTTTCAAGGGATGCAGAGTAAACTAAAGATTTTATGTAACAGAGCTAAATCTTAATAGGGTCTCCTGATTAACAAAAGAAAGTGCTCTAGGCATTCCCTGTCAATACAAAATCTCAACTGCCTTGTCTTGCTGCCCTCTCTCTCAAAGGGAGCAGTAGTTTATGCAGAATCCTATTTACTAATACTGGTGCAGAACTGTCCTACTGGTTAAGGGAGACAGGCCTAGGTGTCTGCACAAGTAAGTAAATCCATTTATTCATGTCTGAATATCAGTGACGTAGCAGAATTTTCTAAAGCCTTCATGATCCATCACTAACTTTAAGTACTCAGCAGCTGGTCTTCCACTGACATGCCACACACCATCCATCTACTTGCTTGTCGTCCCCTATTGTGATGACCCACCATTCCTTCCACAGTAACTTTCTCAAGTTTATTTCTATCTCTACACCTGTGACCAAAGTGCATAGGCTCGTGTCTGTTGTTTTCCGACATCAGAGTCTTCTTCTCTCCAATAATATTTCTAACAGAGGCATTCGTCCTTTTTTCTGTCCAAGAGATAAGCAAGAGTGTTTGCCAGTGCCGCCTTTCAAAAGCTTCAGTTTCCTTCTTGTCAGCAGCATTAACTTTCCACAATTCACATTCATAAATTGCTATGAAAAAAATTAAATTTCTCATCAGTCACCTCTTTGTGCATTTCAAGGAGCTGTGGTTTTTCCACACTTTCTTAAGAGAGGCCATTCCAATCTTAGGCAGTTCTAAAGAAATCAGAAGAACCTTCCTGGTTGGATATATATGATCCCAGATAATTAAATTCATCTACTGCCTCTATAGTTTGTCTGTTAATTGTGACTTCCACTTGCGTCCTGTTTTTGTTAGTACACACATGTATTTTGTTTTCATCACATTCAGGAATATTCCTCAATAACTGTTTTTACAGACTCCAGTTTTTGTTGCATTGCATCCGTGGTTGTAGCAAAAAGTGTGTCATCTGCATATCTGTTGTTGGTTAAGAGGTGTCCGCCAATGGAGATCTCAGCTCCTTCCACTTTGTTAAACGTTCCAAAGCTTATCTCATAATAAATTCTCTGCATAAGTTAAAGAGGCTTGGGAACAAAATACATCCTTGTCTCACACCCCCGCACAGTGGAAAACCACTCCCTGTCACCTACTGCTATTTGCACTGTGGTCTGGTGGTGGTGGTAGAGACTTGCAATGAGTTCAATGAGGTGCTTTGAAATCCCCATATCTGCAAGTATCCTCCACAGATGGTCATTATGGGTGGCATTGTATGCTTTTGAGCAGTGTACGAAGCACGTGATCAATGGGCGATCATACTCTCTTCATTTTCAGTGATGTGACAGACAGTCATGATTTGATCATGTGCCTTGGCCATGATCCTTGAAACTAGGTTGTTGTGGTATTAGTTCTGCTTCTATCCTTTGTTTCATGTGATCCTGGATTACGTAGAGCAGATATAATGTGAGATATCATGAAAATGATATGATAGTTACTGCACTCTGTTATGTTTCCCTTCCCTTCCTTTCCCTTTGGTATGGGCAGAAAAATTCCTTTTGTCCAATCTTCTGTCCAATTTCTAGTCATCCATACACCATTAAAATTTTTTCACGTAGCCTGTGAATCTGTCTGCTCAGTTTCTCATAGTCTGTCCTGCGTTCTTCTGTCTCCAAGCCAGTCTCTTTCACTCTGTCATTTTCCTGCCAGCTCAAACACCTTATCAGTTAACCATGATTTGGGCAGAGACTTACTTTTGGGAATGTGTGCTTTGGTGGTTTCAGACATAATAATTTTTTGGGAAAAGCAGAAAAAACTCAAGACTGCCTTAGTCAAATCAAAGAGACAGAGAGACTCTGAGACCATGGTGAAGAGAATTCACTTTTGAATATTTTCCCATTGGTTTTAATTAACACCCTTATACCACCAAAGACTTATGAGAATGAAGCCTTAAAAAAAAAAAGTATGAAGTAACTGTATTTTTTTTCTTACAGAATTTGTTTTATAAGTCAACCATGTCACTTATTCTATTCATTTCAACAACAGTTCTGTACTTAGTATCTTCTGCAATAGTTTCAGATCACAACATTTAAAAGCAAGTTTAAAATAATTATCGGGTGTATACTTAAAACTGGTACCTGTTCAGCTTTGTGAATTTGAATCAGAAGCAGATACCAGAGTCATGACACGTGAGTACTCTTCAGGCCTCGAAAAATCTGCTTGCCCCTGGAAAGTGAGATACTTCCCCAAGAGAAAGCAAGGGCCGTAAAGTGTCAATTTTTTGCACATTTTTTCATTAAAAACATTTGTTTCTCGCTCTTTTTGAAAGTTGACCTCCCCAAGAGGAGGTAGAGTGGTCCATCGGATAAGGCACTGGACCGGAAGTCAAGAAACATAGGCCGTATGCCACTGATTGCTCTACCATTGTGTGTCTTTGGGCAAGCTACTTAACCTCTCTGAGTCTCCTGATTTGTAATTTGTACATAATTATGATTCTTTGTAACCCCTTATAAAGCACTTTGATATCTGCAGATGAAAAGTACTGTAGCCCTGCTTCAGAAGGGTATGAATGTAACTCACATTCTTGCTTTCATTCATAGCATAACTCGGTAGCTGTTACTTTTATGTTCAGATTTCT